TGATACTTCTCTCCCATTTGGCTTGGGGGTCCTACTGGGTTCACGCCATTCTCCTGCCTCAGCCTCCCGAGTAGCTGGGACTACAGGTGCCCGTCACCACGCCCGGCTAATTTTTTGTATTTTTAGTAGAGATGGGGTTTCACCATGTTAGCCAGGATGGTCTCGATCCCCTGACCTCGTGATCTGCTGGCCTTGGCCTCCCAAAGTGCTGGGATTACAGGTGTGAACCACCACGCCCGGCCTGTTGTAGTCTTTTAATGGCTGTATTTAGCTTCGGAGAGAATAAGAACTTCATTAGGGCCTAGGACCTGTTGGACTTGGCCTCATTATGGCATTTGGCACAAATTCTGTGACAAAGGCCAGGAAAGTCTGGCCCAGGGGACTTGAAATGCCTCATTCCAAAGCCATGTGAATACAGCAGGAAATCATGGCTTCAAAGTCATACCCTTACTGAAGACTCCTACTTACCTGCTACTCCTTGAGTGTCTTCCTAGGAGCTCTGTCTTCTCACTTTGTTTGATACCCACCACGGGATGTGGTCCAGAGAAAGTAAAGACATTGTCCTCACTGGTTCGTTACACCTCTCCATCCTGGTGGGAGATTAAGATTCCACAGGGAATGAATGAGGGGAACTGAGACATAAGATGAGCCTCCTTCAACTCTCCTTTTCACATTTATCTTCTGGACACTCAGAGATCTGAATGAGGTTATAGAGGCTTGGACATCAATACCAGAAATGTTCAAGGCCACACAGCATTTTTCCCAAGCCTGGCTTGTTACACGGGTCCAAGAACAAAACACTCTTGTTTTTCCAACTCATATGGCAAAAAGGTTTGCTAGTCCTTGACAAAATAATGGTTGACTATGGCTTATTTGTTATGATTGTCACCGACTTTTCCTGGTTTTATTGTAAAATATTTCATATAGAGAGAGTGGTAATAAAATGAATGTGTATGTCTATGTCACCAGCTTAAGAAATAAAACATTATTAATACCCTTGGAACCGTTTTGTGGCCTTCTTAACAGTCAGAGAAGATAGAACTTGGAGTTCCAGAAGAAAAACAAAGTGGGTAAAATAGCTTTTCCCTTAGGGCAGGAATCAACTATGGGTAATGCCACAAGTCAGCACTGGGACTTCTGTTCCTGTTTGCTATCTGCGTTTCCACCCAATCCCTTTTATTCCATTTTTCTTCCCTGGTTCTTAGGGTATGTCCCCCATGTTACTTGCTGGCTGTCTCAGACCCTGTTTCTCTATTTTGGTGATAGGGAGCCCAGCGATGGCATGTCTTCATGACAAGGCAATCCATATCCCACCTTGTACTCAAACTGAAGTCCTGAGACTCAGCGGTAGGCTCACTATAGCAAACCCTCTTGTGAAATGAGTGGCAATTATCCATTTTTGTTTTCTCTCCTTCCCTTCTAACTGTGTGTTCCTGCTGATACTTCTCTCCCATTTGGCTTGGGGGTCCTACAGCCTGGACTGCTGACTATCTTCCTCATGTTGAGAGTTGGACCCAGCTCGGTTTTGGTGTGGGAGTCATACTTCCAGATGGTTTGGGGACAATGGTCTCAGAATGAACAGTGCACCTAACATCCCTTTATGGGACTGCTCCCATACACGTGGCTCAACCCCAAAGGGCAGCTGAATTGGAAAGGGCCACTCATGTATACTGAGGGTGGTACCTCCAGGTACGCTGCTGGAGCTTTCTCTACTGTTTTTGTTCTTTTTGCATCTGGAAGGTAGATGTGGGGTCTGTATCCTTGAAGGCAGGTGTGCCCCGTGGGCACGTGCTCGTCAGGAAGCCACTCTTGGAGCTAACGCTGTGTGGCCTCATTGCTCTCTCTCCATGTTTCAGTGTGAGGAATCCTGGTTTATATCTGCTGAGTGACCACATTTTCTGCTTTGCTGCAGATCGGATGACCATGAAGAGGCGTCAGTCCTTCCTCTTCTCCATGCAGGCTTCAACAGGGTATGTACAAGATGTCCAGCATCTCTCTCAGGTGCGGGTACCTTAACCCCTGACTCCCATAACAGGAAGGCGAAGCCGCCACGGAGAACTGTTAAGGAAATGAAGCCCCAGGACTGTTGGGGAAAGGAAGAAACTGTGTTCTCATGGGAGAGTAACGAGCAGCTGCCAGTCGAGCTCTTTGCCTTTTTTGCTGTCTGGGTTTTCTCCATATATCTTAGCAATAGATATACAATGACATAAAAACCCATCTTATTATATCAGATTAAAATTCTGTCGTCCCAAAGTAATCTTATTTAAATCAGTACAGTCAATTCGATTAGATGTATGTGTGATTATATATGGATATATCCACCAAATTGGCACCCAAGACTGTTCATCAGGGCTGGCCAGAGTTTATACCCTAGGGACAGGCCCATGATGACTGTAGCACCCTGTAAACTCCTGGTTGAAACCATTAACATCAGCAAAGAAAAATTCTTTGAGTGATAAACTGCACAAATAACACTGAGATTCCACTTGAAGATTAAGAATTTCTCCAAGGAAACTCACTAACAAACTAAATAACCAAGCTCACCCTGCATCTCAGGGTAGAAATTAGATTGGAGGCAAGGCTGTGTTCATGCAAATGGAAAGGAACTGATGGAATGGACTTAGAAGAAAGGAAAGAAAGGGAGGAGGAAAAAGATCATCAAAACATGAATGTTTAAAAGAACTATATTCCCTAATATTAAAAGAAAACAAGTCCTTATAGAGAAATTGTAGAAGACCTTACTTCATATTTTAATTTTTTAAAATAACAAATATATATATTACTCCTATGTAACGAATAAAAGGCTTCCCTTAGGAGAATAATAGGATAGAAGACCATGGTTTACTTATATAGCTTTTGCTGATCATCTAAACACAAGTAATCCTATAGCATCCTGTGACCTCCTGGCTTAAACTATAAGCATCATGAACAACACTGATGTTCAACTTGAAGATTGAGATTGGTTACTCCAAAGAGACTTACCAACAAACTAAGTGATTAGGCATACCCAATATCTCAAAATCTTTTGGTAAGAGTAATCTGAATCCCGGCTGGGCACAGTGGCTCACGCCTGTAATCCCAGCACTTTGGGAGACCAAGGCAGGCAGATCACCTGAGGTCGGGAATTCGAGACCAGCCTGACTAACATGGAGAAACCCCATCTCCACTAAAAATACAAAATTAGCCTGGCGTGGTGGCGCATGCCTATAATCCCAGCTATTCGGGAGGCTGAGGCAGGAGAATTGCTTGAACCCGGGAGGTGGAGGTTGCGGTGAGCCGAGATGGCGCCATTGCACTTCAGCCTGGGCAACAACAGCGAAACTCTGTCTCAAAAAAAAAAAAAAAAAAAGAGAGTAATCTGAATCCCAAGTAGATGGAGTGATATAGTCTTTAAAAAATAGGGTACTGCCTGTGCCTTGTGAATTATGAAAATCCTCTGTGTGCTTTAAGTAATGGTACTTTGCTACTCCGGGCTTAAAAATATATATATTCCTCTTAGTTGTAGACCACAGAGAAGCAAAAACTACCTTTGTGATGCAGTTGTTTTGTGCTTTGGTATGCTTCAGTGTGGAAGTCACAGTGCTGTAGAGAAGATTCAAGGTAGTCTAGTGGCTCACGATGTGTGATCGAAATGAATGTTTCCAGCTAGCAATATTTTTCACGCTCCTAACACTTTTTCCTCTTGTCTGTTATCTCTTCTCGCAAAGGTTGGCGTTTGGTTCTGAAAGCTATTCTTAGGTGCTATATCTTAATGAGAATGCATGAGACAATGCTTCTGAGTTTTGGAATGAAGAGTTGCAAAAGAAAACTCAGCAAAGAAGCCATGTGGTTGAGACAGATTTTCTTTACTCATTTTCTAAGAAATAGCTCTAAAATTATTCACAGGCTTCATGGAACTTCTGTGAAATATTGACCCCCCAACTTCACCCCATTCCAATGTTGTCCTTTTCAAGTCTGAGTTGGGACCTCATGGAGTGTGAGGACGTAGATTTTCCTCATTACCTGGGGGATGATTGGAGAATGGCGATGACACACTGTGAGTTTTATCAATTAGGGACCCATGTACATGCTGTTGAGTGTCCTTTTGGAATTCTACCTTTAGTTCAGTGATGCTCCCTCAAACTGGTTTAGAATTGCTGCCATTTGAAGCGATGGCCTCTTGTCTGGAAGGCTGAGGTTGCACATCTGCTCACAGTTAGGAGAAATAACTGGCGCTCTTTGGGTGCAAATGCTATTGAGAACATTTAACCAAAGTTCCATTGTTTCCTTCTTACACATTTTATAACCTGTCCGTGGTGCTCTGGAAGGCTTCACTTCCCACTATCCAGACGTGTTACTGTGTTTTGCAGTCAGCCTCAGTGAATAAGCCTTTGGCGAAGGGGCATTAACGGCAGTAGCTGTCAGAGACCACCTGGTGTTCTTCAGTGCTGACCCTGATAGAGGCCATTTGCTGGTTAGGTCAGGGTGCCCCCAGTAGCTCAGGCTCATTCCAGGAGAAGCGCGCTGCACCTCCAACAGCTCTCCTGGCGTTACTGTGGCACACCATCGGCTGAGACTGATCTTCAGGTGGTGGTTCTCCTTTTTTGGGTAAAATCCTGTCTTTCACAACTCTCTGCCCAAGCACCTTTTCAAATATGCCAGTTATCCTTGCCTTCCGTGAGGTTGTTTCCCATCGCCAAGCTGTTTTGATTGTATTAGATCATCTGCTTTAACTCACCCCTGGGTTGCTAGCTAATTGGCTGGTGCTTCAGTCTGCGGTCCCTGAGTGGGGATCTAGGAACAAATTGTGCCATCACATATCCCACAACAACTCCCCTTGAAGGCTCTGGAGCTGTGTGTAAGCAGCCAACTATATAGATGCTCAGTCCACGCTGAGCCTTTTAGAAACCAGCATCTTAGCAAAGGACGGTTACAGCTGTTTTTATATCAACTTTATGTGCCTCTTTTTCTATTTGCAAAAATGTTTGTTCAGTTTAACAAGTGTTTATGGAGTTCTGCCTCTGTGCAATGTGCTAGGCATGCCGGGGGCACAACTGTAGGGACACGGTTCTCTGTGGAGAGGCCTTCTGTGGAGTAGGAAGTGGGGAGCTACGATTTATTGTCAGGCCCAGTTCCCAGTGATTTACTTAATCCTCCTGTACATATGAGGGATTTGATATTTTCTCCATTTTTGCAGAGGAGGAAACAGGCTCAAAACAACTAAACTTGCCAGAGCTCACACTCATGACAAAGTCCAGAAGCAAATGCATGTTGTTTAACTCCAAACTCTATATTGGGTCCACTAAAGTTAGATTTCCCAAGCTAGTGCTCCACAGAACACTACTGTACCAAAAGCTATTAATAGGTGGTCCGTGAAAAAAGGCTTCTATGGTCAAATAAGTTTAGGGAATCAGTGAAAACTCAGTTGCCCCTCCTCCCACACCTGAGAATTCACAGAGCACTTTTGCAACATTGCACATTAGCATTTTAAATGCTCTGAGATATCCTGTAGTAAACAAACCTGCTAACTTTGTGTATCCCAACATTTTCTTTCCATTTTTTGCAAAAACGAATCCATGTTTGTTATAGAGAATACAGATAAGCTAAAAATTAAAATTATTTATGCCACTAGCCTTTCAGATTTATTCCTAGGCAGAAATAGCAATGACTGTGTATTATTTACAAAACAGCGTCATGATATACATACATATCTTTCAATGTTATGCCAGCATTTTCAAACGTGTGTTATCATGGTTTTTTCATGTTTTTACAAAACATCAGCTAAAAACCCCCTGAGTTCTGTTATAGGCTGATATATAGCTTTTATCCATCTAAAAGCTCAAATGGAATCTAACCACGTTTAACTTTGCTCTGTAAATCAAAGAGAAAGTGTTTCCCTTCTGTGTATGTTTATGGCTTCCTCTCTTTCCTTAGCCCTTCCCAGTTTCCACGTAAGAATAGTGGAGGACCAGAGGCCCAGGGAAAGCCAGAGAGGGGCCAACCACTCCAGATATGTGGAGCCATCCACTTCAGTGTATATTGGGGGGGTGTGTGAGAGAGAGAGGGAGAGCGGGGATGGCGGGGGGAGAGGGAGAGAGAGAAGAGAGAGAGAAAGGAAGGAGTGAGGAGAGGGATTGATTTTTTTCTCTGGCCAACTTGGGTGAAGGAAATCTAAGAAACACATCTTTCAGCAGGATCTAGTATTCTCCTTCTCCACCTATATAGCTACCTGAGAAGCAAAAGAATGTGACTGGTAGTTTGGAATACTTTGGAATTCTGCTTATCTTTCTACTTAGTTTGCCAGCCATATGCTTGGAAAGGCTTGCATGATGTGTTTTTTTTAATCAATTAAAATGCAAAACATTTCCCCTTTCCTAAGTAGAATTGTCCTTAAATCTCTTCCCTTACTATTTTTTACTTGCTTTTTTTTTTTCCTGATTTCATTATTTCTCATTAGGTATTGACGTGATCATGTCAGAGAAGTGCTCAGTTTCCTATATACCCTACACTGAATCATGTAGCATATATGAGAAGTGTCAACCAAATTACTTTGGGATTAAGTGAAAAAGGGCCTACTCCTCTTTCAACGTGGGATTTGAGCAGCTCATACCTAGCATAAATGGGTGCTTTGTGGGTCTTTGATGAAGGACAATGTGTGCTGCATTTTCTTCTGCATTATTATTTGCTTATCTATCTGTTCATTCATTCACTACGTTTATTTGTAAATACAGGAAAGCTTTTTTTCCCATTGAGATGAAACTAAAATTAGCCATTTTAAAGTGAACAATTCAGTGGCATTTAGCACATACACAGTATTGTACAATCACCACCTCTGTCTAGAGACCCTCTTGCAAAACAAACAAAAAAAGCCATTTTCATCATCCCCAAATGTGTTCCCATTAAGCAGTCCCTCCTATTCCTCCTCCCCACAGCCCTGGCAACCACCAGTCTGCATTCTGACTCAATCAATTGACCTATTCTCGATATTTCATATACATGGAATCATACCATATGTGAATTTTTCTGTCTGGATTCTTTCACTTAATACTTTTTTCAGGTTCATACATGTTGTCGCATGTATCAGTATTTTATTCCCATTTTATGGTCAAGTAATAATCCATTGTATGTATAGACCACAATTTGTTTATCTGTTCAAATGTTGAACATTTGGGCAGTTTCTGCCTTTTGGCTATGGTGAATAATGCTGCTGTGAACACACATGTGCAAGTATTTATTTGAGTACTTGTTTTCGGTTCTTTGAGTATATACCTGGAAGTGGAATTGCTGGATCATATGAGAATTCTGTGTTTAACTTTTCCCCTGCATTAGGCACTCAGAAAATTAGGAAGGAAGTAAAGAGTAGGCTCTCCCTTCCAAAGAGATCATTGATAATGTGCTGCACACTGAACATGCTGAGTGCTGGGTTTTAGATGATTCTATTAGTGCAATATGAAGCAAAATGTTTCAGTAATTTACATGGCTGGGCAGGCATTCTGTGCCCTAGAGTGTTCATAATGTAGTTTATTCTACCTTTGTTATGAAGGAAGTGAAGTGTACAGTATTACTTGCTGTTGTTTCTCATACATTTAAACAAGCACTTTGAACACCTTGACAACTGTTTCATCTCATCTTACTTACTAATTGTCTTATATAACGGAGTTACCTGGGGGTAGGAACAACTGTTAAGTTTCTCTGTTTGGCTCTCAAAGAAGTAACTATATATGTCTTATGTATTGTCTTTGCTTTCTTTTCAGAGATTTATGGAGAATAGCAGCATAATTGCTTGCTATAATGAACTGATTCAAATAGAACATGGGGAAGTTCGCTCCCAGTTCAAATTACGGTATGTAGCAAAATGAGACAGTAACATGAGGTTAACAATTCTTTAGAAAATCTTATCTGTCAACAGGCTGATGTTCATGGGTTCATAGCTGAATCCCAGGGATTTTGAAGCTTTTAAACAGGCAATGAATGGCAGCTGGCCAACAGCAGTATCTTAGCCAGAAGGCCCGTTATATAAAGAAATAAATTGGAAACATTTCTTCTTTTGACAGTATTTTCCACTATTTACAGAATTTTAAAATTGTAACCTGGGAAAATGTTTAATTTTTGCACAATTAGATGGAGATTGGGAATAGCCTTGAGGATTATTTTCTACATCCTACTTTCAATATTTATAAATTTTTACTTGGATTGTTACGCATAGGGGTAAACTAATGGCGATATTTATCATGCTAACCATAATAATTGCTAAGTAACCACAATAGCAATTTTATTAAGTCTGTTTGTGTCCTCAATATGCATGAAGTAGCTTTAAGAAACCAGTTTTAAGTCTCTTTACAAGCATGTAGTGTTTTAAGATCTGGCTTGTCACTGGTGCTCAGTTCCAGGGATGGGATTCTCTGGGTGTCTGGCTGCTGGCCAGAATGCTGGGCTGGGGGATGTTCTGCTCCTGGACCCTCTGAGGAATATCAGGGTCCTAGCTCCTGCCTGGTTTTGCTCAGGCTCCACTCTGGCAGGCTTTTTGGACCCTGATGTTTTCCTCCCTTCTCAGTCAGGGAGCAGGGAAAGGAGGAGGCTCTTCTCCACCCATGGGCCACTGCGGGGCCCAGTCCCCAGGAAATTCAGGCTGTGGGATGCCAGAAAAGTCTGTAGCATGGCTTCTCTCTCTGGCTGACTGAGAAGTCATGGATAGTTTGAGGCTCAATACAAAATAAGTAGGAGAGCATCCTATTATAGTGATTATATGCCTTATCTTGATTACTTATTGTCATTCAAAGATGACAAAACCCTTTTCAAACTTAATTATCCTCTGTCCCAGGGAGGCAAAATGAATTGACATAAACCTAGAGAAGCAGTTTCCCCTGGGGTGCACCCTGGTCAGGGGAGTCACTTTTTGGTTGGTAGAGTGCTCTAAGAAATAAAGTGTGGGATAAACAGTCACTTCCTTAGATAGAAAACTATTAAAAAAAGAATCTCAAACCAGTGAGAAATCAGATATTTTGGGAATTCAGGTATTTTTTAACAGCCCTTGGTAAGAAATATTGCCAAAGACTTTTTGAACGTATAAGTAAACTAGATCCCTTGGTTTATTTTTATGTATATGTTAGCTTCAGAGCACTTCATAGAATTTTTCTAGAAACCCACGTTGCCTTTACTCCATAATTTATGCCTTTTAATAATGTAGATTAATTGTTATTATTCCTGGTGATCTCTACTGTTTTTAATTGAAGGTTAAAAGACTCAGCACTTTTATTTTAGATGTTTACACAGTAAATATAATTAGAAAGAGGGGGGTTTTATTGTGGTTTAATTCTTCAGCTGTGTATTACCCACAATAAAAAATGAACAGCGCAACACTTCATTGCTTTGATAGGCAATTCCATTATTTGATTTTAAATAAGTTTCTGGTTTTTTAGGCAACATTACATGTGATGGCATATGTGAGTTGCCAGGAGATGCCCTAATACAGATTCTGCAGTGCACATGGGGCACTGGAGGGCTGTCCCAGGAATGTTAGGGGCACCTTGTCCATGATGAACAGGGCAAAAGCAGGCCTGGAAATTTGAAGTAAATATCCCCAGCCAACAAGAGCATAAAGAAAAGCCTTCAGGTTATTGTACTGATGAAATCTGTTTAGAGCCAGGGCACCAAAGACTTTTTAAGATCTTATCAGATTCAGAACTTTGCAAGTTTCTAAGTACCTACCATTATGTAAGTACTATACTTCTGACCCCTCACTTACTAGAACTGGTTGGGGGCATTGGACCCATTGTTGAGGTCATAATGAAAAGGCTCAAGTTCTTAATACAAATCAGTGTGAAACTGGTGAATGGACCTGACCCAGGAAGGTAGTGGCCCCAGGAAAGAAGGTTTGCCTGGCACATGGATTATCTTGTCTTCTGCACAAGCTTCAGCTGTTGCTTTTTGGTGGGTTCTGCCTCAACCTTATTCAAGTTATCGCCCTTTTGGGTGTGTGTGTGAACATGTGCGTGATTTTATGTGCATATTCCCAGGTATACTATATCTAGGCCCAGCAGATGGAGGCAGTGACCCATGCCATGGCCCCTCCCCAGCTCCTTAGGGCACTTAGGGACGTCTAGCACATATACCTGCACCCCAAGGCAGGCAAGCAACTCTATCATTTGTTGCAGACTGGGAAAATGAGGCTCTTTATTATACAATGCTAGAATAATTATAGTCTAATTATATAATACTTTCCCCTACAATTCCGCCCCCAGCTGCAGCTAAATATGTAGCATTACTGTCATTCTGCAAGGACAGTCTGTACTGCAGGATGATGGTGAATGTTGAAGGTAGACACCTCCGTCTGGGTCCCATGTCTAGTGACCATATTTACTTAACCAGGAAACAAAAAGGATCACCTGATGTGATCAAATAGAAAATGTAGTCTAATTTTAAGATTCTATTATATAAAATAACTTTTAAAGATATGAGAACTAAATCACATATCTGTATGCCTTTGATTAATTACTCTGTTGAATAGAAGAATTTATGAAATGGAGAGTGTCTAGGATAATCTAAATTAAATGATGACTATCTCTTCTGATGTTCTTACACCTCTTTATCATGAAAAGATCTATTTTATCTAAAATAAAGATAATTATTTAGATACTTAGCAGGAGTTTGGGCTGATCGATACATACTAATGCAGTACCAGCTATTGTTTGATTCATTAGTCAGTCTAGAAGTTACATCCAAGTCATTATGTTTATTTCAATCCAAATCTTAAGACAGTAGCAATCCTCAGTTTTAGAAAGAATCAAAATTTTTGATGGACAAAACTCTGTATTCTGTGGAACACCACACCTCTCAGTATTAACAGACATTTATAGAGCACTCTATTCTCATATGAGCTCTGCGTGATAGCTATTGTGTTACAGGGGTGGAAACTGAGCTGTGAAGGCTTAAAATAACCAGTCGCTATTGCTTTATTGCCCAGTAATGAGTGCTAACAAGTAGCTAAGTCATGATCCTCTTACCTCTTCCACTCCCTGCTCCCAACTCATCCCAGACTCCTACTGGGATGTGGACTTGTGTTCAGAATCTTTTCCCTACAAGCCACCACCTTGCCCAGTCCTACCCTTGTTCCAGGCAGCCGCAGAGTGTGTGTGTGTGTGTGTGTGCGCGCACGTGTGTGTGTGTGTGTGTGTGTTGGTGGAGTCTAGATAGAGCACTTTTGGAAGAGACACAGGAGATAATGTAACCCAACACCCCGACTGACAGAGGAAAACACTGAGAACCTTCACAGCTACTCAGCATGTTGGTGACTGTGGTGGAGTAGAATCCAGGCATCCTGCTTTTTCAGTCTGGTGCACTTTCCACTCAGCATAGTACTACATTATTTATAGACTTTATACCTGGACCTCTGTAATATTTACCTTTTCTCTCTGGACCTTCAAGGGCTCTTAAGAAGGTGTGGGGAAAATGGTGACATTACCTGTACTTCATGGGTTTCCACACCTAGGTTACTTTTCCCTTGTGTTTCCTTTTTCTAGTTTTCCAACTTTTTAACCTGAAGAATAAAACATAAAGATACCTGAGACAAAAGAATTGTATGGTTCCCAAGAACAGATATTAATAAAGCTAAGGTTCTTCTGCCAGAAGAGTATGAATAATTAATACAAGCAATTAAGTTCTAAAACTCTAGAAACATGACTCAAATTGATTATCTCATTTTGCTGCAGGTTTATTTAAATAGAACCATCAACCAAAGAGGTTGAGAGCCTGAATAAACATTGCAGTCTGGTCATGTTTGTCGTGGGGGGCGGGGATGGGAAGTAGTGTGCTCTTTCTACCAATATTCTTTCATTTCAACTGTTGATAAGCATTTACTTTGTCTTATGGGGCTTTATACTTATTGAAAATTTCATGCTTTGTGGATAATCATAAAATGAATATTTAATAAATTTTGGAGATTGGATCTAAGATCATGTATAAAGGCAACCTCTTGAATTGATGAAAATGATAGTAGTCTGAAGTACCTGTTTATATATTTAGCTGAAACCTGTTTACATAGAGAAAATACTTAAGCAAGAGAGGAATTTGTCATTTGATAAAATGTGTTAATTAAAGCTTAATTATCCAGCTCTCAAAGTTAACAAATTAGTCCACATAGAGTGTGTTTCTCCACAAGTGACTTCTGAAAGACAGCTGTTGCCCAGGAAATCCCTAAGGTGCTTTGTCAAGTTTTGGACCAGGTGCCTGGAAAACACTGTTAATAAGACTAGCTCTTGCTTGTCTCTTATGAGGCAGTGCAGTGACAAATTTGGTAGCAGTTTTAAAGCCCCCTTTTATTCTTTTTTCTTATTTTAAATTATCATATTTACAAGTGATGGTACTAAGACAGTATACAGTTCAAATTGGGTAGACTGGAGCAATTTAACTAAGAAAATATACTACTGCACCTGTAAGCCTTTTCAGTTGAGTTAGGTTGATATTCTCCTCTGCTCTGCTAACCCGTATCATGATTACTTGTTTTACTTACCCTCTCACACTGATATCTTCATTTCTGCAACCATAGGATTGGCGTCCTGCAGTTGGCTAAAATACTGCACTCTGTACGCATACCTCACTATTATTGAATACTGTTCTTGGTTTGACATTTCAGGTATACTTACGAGAAAAGATAGGCTATGATTCATTTTTTTAACCAAAGCCTTTTGAAAGCCTTAAAGAACAAAGAAGTATTGCTCTGTGATCTGAAACATAACAACAGGTATCGTGTGTTGGATGCTCATATTGTCCCAAGCACTTCAAGAAATGCCTCACATAAACTCTCTGTTTTGATCTTTACAAAAACCTGTGAAATACATATTATTATCCTCATTTTATGGATGAGGAAACTGAGGGCCACTGAAGACAAAAAGTTGCCTCAGGTCGCATAATTGGAAAAATACAGAGCCAGATTTCACCCAGTTCTTTCTGCCTTCTTCCTTCTAAACAGATCAAAATAGGATGACAAAGTTAGAATGCCTTTATGAGTGGAAAAAATAACATTTTTCAGAGTGTTTCTTTTAAAGAAAAAACATCAATCCAGTAAATCAACAGTTTTTTTTTTTCTTTTTGCAATGTGTAAGAAAGCTTTTTGTTGGGATTCTTTAAACAGTCAGTATAAATAACAGAGCTCTAGCTACATGCTTGCTGTGTTGGACAGTAAATAGCTTACTGTATTTGGAGTTGCTCTAGATTAGGAAATTGGTTAAAACTGTAACAAAGAAAATGAGAGTCTGATTCCAAATATTCTTTATGCATTTAGTTTGAAAGATGACTTTTTTTCCCCTCAAAGCATATCGTTAACCCTCTTAGTCTGTTAGGATTGCAATAATGAAATATAGTCATGCATCATTTAATGATGGGGGTATGTTCTGAGAGATGTGTCGTTGGACGATTTTGTCATTATGCAAACATTGTAGAGTGCACTTACACAAACCTAGATGGTATAGCTTACTACACATCTAGGCTACATGGTCTAGCCTGTTGCTCCTAGGTTACAAACCTGTGGAGCATGTTACTGTACTGAATATTGTAGACAGTTTTAACACAGTGGTATTTGTGAATTTAAACATAGAAAGGCACAGTAAAAATGCAGCATAGAAAGATTTAAAATGGTACACTCGTATAAGGCACTTAGCATGAATGGAGCTTGCAGGATTGGGAGTTGCTCTGGGTGAGCTGGGGAGTGAATGGAGAGGGAAGGCGAAGGCCCCGGGCATTATGTATATATGACTGTAGACTATCAGCTTTGTGCTCTAAGGCTACACAAAATTCATTAAAACATTTTCCTTTCTTCAATAGTAAATTTGCCTTAGCTTACTGCTACTTTTTAACTTTATAAACCTTTATATTTTTAAACTTTTTCACTCTTAAGAACATTTAGCTTAAAACACAAACACATTTCACAGCTGTACAAAAAATTTGTTTCTTTATGACATTATTCTGTCAGCTTTTTTCTATTTTTAAATCTTTTTTTTTTTAACTTTTTAAACTTTTTTGTTAAAAATAAGACAACTTTGGCCAGTGCCTACACAGGGTCAGGATCATCAGTATCACTGACTTCCCCCTCCACATCTTGTGTCACTGGAAGGTCTTCAGGGGCAATAACACACATGGAGCTGTCACCTTCTATGGTAACAATGCCATCTTCTGTGATACCTCCTGAAGGACCTGCCTGAGGCTGCTTTACAGTTAACTTTTCTTAGTAGTAGAAGGGGTATTTTATCTAAAACAATGATGAATAGTATAGTAAATACATAAACCAGTATCCTAATCATCTCTTATCAAACATTATGTACTGCACATCATTACTGTATTGCTGTATGTTTATACAGCTGATAGTGCGGTGAGCTTGTTTACACCAACATCATCACAGACACGTGAGGATGTTCTGTCTGCTACAACACCACTAGGCAATAGGAATTAGGATTATAATCTCACAGGACCACCATTGTATATTGAGTCCATTGTTGAAACATCGTTATGAGTTGCATTACTGTACCTTAAACTGAGTAATTAATAAGCAACAGAAATGTATTGCTCACAGTTCTGGAGGTTGAGAAGTCCAAGATCAAGGTGCCAGCGGGTTCTGTGTCTGGTGAGGGCCTGTTCCTCATAGAGAGGACCCTCTCTATGCCCTCACATGGCAGAAAGTGCAAGGGAGCCCACTGGAGCCTCTTTAATAAAGGCACTAATCCCATTCATGAGGACGAAGCCCCACAGACTTAGCCACTTCCCAGAGGCTCTGCATCTTCATACAATCACATCGGATGTTAGATTCCAACATATGGACTTTTGGGAGACATCAGCAGTCAGACCATGGCAGTAACAAAAAGTACGTAGATTTGATGAACCTGGTATCTGTTTACTTTGTTAAATTAACAGATGAAATGTGAATGGTTTTCATGGAAGAACTAACTTCAATCTTTTATAACTTTCAGGGCCTGTAATTCAGTGTTTACAGCATTAGATCACTGTCATGAAGCCATAGAAATAACAAGCGATGACCACGTGATTCAGGTATGGAAAGAAACACTCTCTATCATTAACATTCAAAATGAACCTTTCAGGTTTAAGCCACACTTTTTATCAAGTACTTTCCCATCAACCTCACATCTCAGCACATTTTCTTAGGAGAAATAAATATCAAGCTGTGCAAAGAATACTGATAGACTTAAGAATTAGATATTCAATAAAGAACAAAAAATGATTACTTCAGATCAGAACCTGCAATTTCTTTGACAGAAATGGGCTTTAAGAAAATTTATTTTTTGAGACAGATTCTCATTCTGTCGCCCAGGCAGTGGTCATCTTGGCTCAGTATAATTTCTGCCTCTCAGGTTCCAGTGATTCTTGTTCCTCTAAGTAGCTAGGATTACAGGCATATGCCACCACACTCAGCTAATTTTTATATTTTTAGTAGAGATGGGGTTTTACCATGTTGGCCAGGTTGGTCTCAAACTCCTGGCCTCAAGTGATCCACCTGCCTTGGCCTCCCAAAGTGCTGGGATTATAGGCGTGAGTCACTGCACCCAGCTAGAACCGGGGTAAATTCTTTTGACCATCTGTGAAGACGCTATTCACATAGAAGTAAGTCAGAATGGTACAGTAAATGCTTATAAATGTCTATGGAACAGAATATTTTCAAAGACATTCATTTGTTTACCTGCAGTGGGTATTCTAATTATAAAGCATTCTTACATGAATGTCATCTTCCTAAGGAAATGTGTGTAGCAGAGAAACCTTTCAAGAAATGAGGTATTCTTATTACAATTGTTGGAAAGTAAGACATCTGTATTTGTAAAATACTCTGAAATACAGACTTTCCACGAATTGGTGCTTGTTTGCCTGCAGTTGGTTTGCAGAGTGGCATGGAGTGTGAGGAGCACTTGTCATCAGTAGAGCACCAAAGACAGTGGGCAACACACAGTGAAGCCCACAGCAGAAGCCTCACATTTGTCTGCCCTCATCTCCCAGTGCACACGTACACACCCCGTTCTCATACCAGACCAATAACATCAGTAGCCCACCCTGCCTAGGCCCTGTCATCAGCACTTTCATTAGGTTGTTTCGTTTCTATTCAGTAAGGGTAGGAAAGAGAAATCATCGCCCTATAGTGCAGATGAGGAAACTGAGTCCCAACAAGGTCAAGGAACTTATCCAAGGAAAGCCTTAGTACTAAATATCAGAACTAAAATATGTAGTCATGTCTCCAAAGCCTTCCTACCTGGTTTCCTGTTTAGCTGTATTGTTAGAATATGTTTTCTGGCTGCCCCCTTGAAATGTATCTGAAGGCTTCTTCATGTTGCTGGCTATTAGTGGCCCACCTGCCCACAGGTCTGCCTCTTGGACCTCAGAGAGAGTCCGACATGTTTCTGTTACAGACCAAGCACAAAAATCCCACGTCTCCCTTACTTATACCCAGACTTGAACAATCAAATCTATTCATGAAGCACATTTTCTTGGCACCTCCCTGTTTTGCAGTGTGCAGCTGGATTTGATTTCAGAAATGAGGAGAAGGGGCTCCCTGCCCCTCCACCTGTAATCTAACAAACAACTTCTAGAATAGGGAACAGTCTTTCATTCTCCAGTTATCAACTGGTGGTTAGAAAACCTGTATCCCTGGGAGAGGTACTATTGTGATGGTGTCACATTATGATATTAATCATCTCCCAGCCTTTGCCGTGAACAGAAAGAAACAGGTGCATGAGGCCAGTATAACAGATGCCTGTAAAGGAGAGGTGGAAGGAGAGTCACTGCCTTTAAAGGGAAACTTGGATTCTGAAAGAAGACCTTACAGCTTTTTTCTCTGGGAACCTTTTCATCCTCCTTTAGGAAAATGTACCAGCAATCTGTAGTATGGAACTTAAAACAAGAAGAAGGAGGAAGGAGCTGGATAGAGGATGTTATATGTATGGTGAAATTACCTATGTGCTATAAATTTTGAGGATGTCATCACTGGATGGGATAGTTCATGTATGATTTTACTTGATATCAGCATCCTTTTCAGGGCACTCCAATCAAATAGTTAGATGCTTTTTTGAGTACAAATCTTCAGAGGTCAAGTAGCAGCACTTAAAATTTAGAATCAATACCCATCTATCTGTGTCTATCCACCCATCCATCCCTCCCTCCTATCCTTCCTCTCTTCCTCCATGCCCCTATCTATCTAAACTATATATTTTCTTTAAAACGCTTAATATGGTACTTGCCATATACGAGGCTCAGTTCTAAGCATTTTACATATACTCATTTATTTCTTGAAGCAATCCTATGAATCACATATCACTATTGTACTCATTTTGCAGATGGGGAAACTGAGAACTAGGGAAGTTAAGTAATTTGTCCATGGTTTTGTAGCTAGTAATTGGCAGAGCCAGGATTTAAACTTAGGTGCCTTGGCTCCAGAATCCATATCTGGGAGTACCTGCTGCATTCTGAGGTTTCAGGAACCCTGGTGTGAAAGAAGGGCCATGACTTCTACCCAAATTTACAACCTAATAGGGAAGGCAGAAGGAACACATATGAAAAGGTGTTAGAATATAGCTAACAAATAAAGAAAATAACATATTCTCTAATATTTTCTATTCATTCATCAAGTAGTTACTAAACAGTCCTGAGTGTCCAAAGATCAATTCAAAATAGCCTTTGCCCTTGAGGAGTTGAATGTCCACTGGGAAAGAGAGATAAACAAAAATTTAAATTCGGTGTAATAAGTCACTGAAAGTCTGCACAGGCATCAGTGGCAGCTCTTGGGAGTGGACTAGGTTAGGGGAGTCAGGGAAGGCTTCCTGGAAGAAAAGAGGGATAAATTGGAGTTGGAGAGGGAAAGAGACCGGGAAGGGAATTGTAAGCAGAGAAAGCACGTGGGGGAAAGGCCCGGAGATGAGGGAGACATGCAGACAGCTCAGCAGCCTGCGGGGGTGGCCCAGGGAGGTGTAAGACTGGCTTTGTGAGCAGGGGCCACACTGTAAGTGATGCCCTTCCCTGCCTAGGGAGAGCCCTGACTACTACATGTCAGTGATGGGGCCGGGGGTTGGGGGTCTGGAGTTCCATGAAGACAATATCAGGCCGCCTCCTCTTCAGTCACCCACCAAAGGCCTGATGACCAGAGCATCTTCCAGACCCCTTCAACTCTCAGGGGTGATCATGTTAATGGAAGCTGTGTCTCCCAGGGAACAGCTCCCTAACTGTCCCCACGCCACCCCGTTCATGACTGCTGCCATCGCAGTTGAGGGCAAGAGTGATTACAGTTGGTTCGAACATCTCCGAAGTAGCAGATGGATGCAATTTAAGCCCAAAGAAATTCATGACCCAGATGCAGTCTGTTTACATTTTCCCCACATTCTTTACCGCTTGTCTCTCTGCATTCAGCCCCCATCTGTGATCTTTGAAAAGAAATCAGAGGGTGGGACAGGACCTGGGAGTTAGCTAGGGTCATGGCTCTAAATTCCAGGACCCCAGGCAGAATTTTGAGTCTGCTGGCCCCAGAATCTGCCGAGGGGAGCTTCACATCTGCCTGAGCCCAGCACTGAAAGGGCTGCCTCCTGCCCAAGCCATTGAACTGAATTTATTGTTCTGATTCTACTGGTAGTGGCCCCAAACTGTAGCAAATATTGATCGATAGGTAGTGGCAATTGGAAAGGAGACATGAGAAATCCAGTTGCAGAGATGTGTATAATACAGGCCACCACTGTTGAATGGAGTTCTTATGTGTTCATTTGTTTGTTTATAAGAGGCAGGGTCTTGCTGGGTTGCCTGGGCTGGAGTGCAACGGTGCAATCACAGCTCACTGCAGCCTCAAACTCCCAGGCTCCAGTGATCCTTCTGCCTCAGCCTCCTGAATAGTAGGGACTACAGGTGTGTGCCGCAACAACTGGCTAATTTCTTTTTATTTTTGTAGAGGTTTTTTTTTTTTATTTTTTATTTTGTGTTTTCCAGGCTGGCCTTGAACTCTTGGGCTCAGCTGATCCTCCTGCCTCAGCTTCCCTAAGGGCTGGAATTGAATTACAGGCATGAGCCACTGTGCCCAGCCTGAAACTGTTTTTTTTTTTTTTTTTAACTACAAACATATGGACCCAGTCCTAATTTATTTTTATTTCTTTTCTTTTTTTTTTTTTTTGTCTGCGTTTCTCCTTGTTCATGGAGTAGTAGATGGTGAATGAGTTCCCCAAGAGGCTGGTACTGCTAGATGAGGGCTTCCTGTTTTTTTCCTGCTGAAGTTTCTTCTGATTTCCTACAGAGGATCAGGATGGCAGTTGAATGAATACATTGCTGCCAGGAAGGAGGGAACTCCTCCAGGAAGGGTTTGGGGATGGAGCGGGGCCGCAGCACCTGGCCAGCCAACTGCATTAGAGGATGTTTGCCCTGGGAACTTCTTGCTTGATATTCCTCTGGGTCCCAACAAGTCTTCCTACGGGGCACACAGACGTTTCATGAACTCTGTCTTGTGTCCCCGCACTGATCTCTACCCACCTCCCATTAACAGTATGTCAACCCAGCCTTCGAAAGGATGATGGGCTACCACAAAGGTGAGCTCCTGGGAAAAGAACTCGCTGATCTGCCCAAAAGCGATAAGAACCGGGCAGACCTTCTCGACACCATCAATACATGCATCAAGAAGGGAAAGGTGGGTTACACCAGCAAAACCAATCCACAAACCCTCTCCCCAATGCCCTTTTTTTTCTGTGGGTTTTAGAATTTCATCCTTAAGATTAGCTTCTTTAATAATGTCATAATTAAGTGAAAGATCTTTTATTTTTGCAAAATGAGTTCATTTTTGAGTTAACTTTGGAACTCAAGTGAATCTGGTGCTTATCATTATGTTACAGAATATGGGGATTTTGTGTAAAAACATTTCATCCTGTGCATGAGTATATCCCATCTGCCATTGCTGGAATATTGTGGGTGTCTCTGAGCAGAGTCCCACCCAGAGAGCTGTTGTGTTTTTTCAGTTTATCCAGTGTTTGGGGGACTAGACATATTTAATATCACTATTTATAGGTAGACCAGGTTTTTTCCCAGTTTTTCTTTTCTGTTCTCTGATCACTGTTCAACATACATTTGTAGCTTCCTCCTCCCAGCTGCACCTGTTCCTCCAGTGGCTTCCCCTTCATCTGGGTAGATGAAGGTAATGATGGAAGTCCGAGAGGAATTTTCCCTGAAGCCCTCTCCTCCTGTGGAGCACTGCCTCTCATCGCTGAAACTGCCTGTGCATTTTCTGTTAAGCCTTCAGAATGCTTCTTCACATACACTTTATTTCATCTTCCTTTCTGTGATGTGAAGTAGTTAGATAAGCACTGTATCCATTTAATAGAGAGAACATTTTAGAGCGATAAGATAAATTTGGATTATAGATGATGATCAAAAATGTTTTTTAACTGGGGCAATGAGACCAAAAAGGAAACAAGACATTGTTAACTATTCCAAAAATTGTTGCCGAAAGAATACAGCCGCACGTACCAAGGTGCATACCAATTAGCCACCTTATGTGATAGAGGGGGCAAGAAATGGCTGCAGGGAATCTAAGTTTCTGATTAGCCAAACCTCCCAGGTTCAGAGAACAGGAACCTTTACTCTCCCTTTGGCCTCGTTCATGGAAACTATAAGGAGCCAGACTAACCCCTGTGAAGCCTTGGCTGGGGGGCCCATAGGATGTTAGGAAGATGATGGGCCTCAGCGAGTGTTAAATAGACATGAATTTATAAGCAGATTTTCTGCATCCTAATGTGGGCAAGTTACCTAGACTCTCTGAGCCTCAGTTTACCCATCTGTAAATTTAGTATGATAATGCCAAGTTCACAGATTGCTGTGAAGATTTTGAGAGAGACCTCTGAAGAATCCTTTGACCTGGTGCCACAGCAGCCATGGGGCTGAGAGCAGAATTCCAGCCACAGGTCAAGTGTCCTGGAAGCTGGGACAGACAGCCTGTTGGTGGATATGTGGATCTGTGGTCTTGTCTTCACACATGTGGCCACATCAGCATTGCATTGAGTACAACAATACAGCAGGCATTGTGAAATGTAATGAAAGCATGTGGGAACGTTCCTTCGCACCTGCTGAGACCCTCTGCAGGAGCAGCTGTCATCCTTGACTGAAGGATTTTAAGAGCTCTCTTTGTCCATGTAGGAGTGGCAGGGGGTTTACTATGCCAGACGGAAATCCGGGGACAGCATCCAACAGCACGTGAAGATCACCCCAGTGATTGGCCAAGGAGGGTGAGAGCAAACTGTTCAACTCTTTTAGCTGAAGATAAAGACTCAAGGCCCTCATGGGCATTGGGCTTGCAATGCCGGTATGAGCCTTACATCCCCAAATGCAGTAGGGTTGTGCTGAATGTAGTATCGACTGAGGGTGCTTCCACTCAGCCGGCAGCAATCCCCATACATGGTTTTCCATGTCTTTATGAAGCATCACCCCAGCCTCCCACCTCCACCTGATCACCTATGCCTTCTGTCATTCCCAGTGTGCTGTAAAGGGGCTTGATTTCTGGGCTTCCCTTTCCCCATAACAACAATGATCTCCTGCCGGTGCTCTCTGGCCTCTGCACTCAGTGCACAGGGAGCCACCCTTTTCTCCTGCTTGAGACCCTCACCCCATGCTGGTTCCTCCAGGCCAGTTCTAGGCTTGTTCCTCTGAGGCCCACTGTTTATGCAGAGAAAGGTGTGTCTGACCAGGAGCTGAGGGCATCTCAATCCACTGAATCTCAGATTACCAGAGAAGGTTCTCTGTTACGTGGAGAGATAAGAAAAATATGCAGTTCCTCTTCCTTCCTCCAGTTAAATTTTGTGAGATTTACAAAGCCAAACGGGACCCCGTAACCATACATCATGGTGAGCCTTGGGAAGCCAGCCTGAAGGTCAACACCAGGTTCATAGTTTGGGTGTATAAGGAGCACAACATTGTGTGACATGTCAGAAAAAGATGAGGCCACAGTCATCCTGCCAATAACTGGAACAGGAGCCCCACCTGTGACTCTTAGGACTACCTGAGTTCATTGCAAATTGTTGCATGAATAGAAAAAAGATGTTTTGTAAAATCAGCCAGGTAGCCAGGTATTTGTAATAGCTTGTTTCCTCTCCAATTTTGGTTAGTTTCAAAATTGCTCTCCCATCAATGCAGGCTACCTCCTGTCAATACCACCCGGTATTTCATGCCATTTTGTAATTTGCAGCTCCCTTTTTGCTTCACTCTGGATGATGGGGGCACTGACAGGCCCCTGACCGAGGTTGTGAGCTGGAGAGAGGCTGCCCCTCCGCCCTCCTCCTGAGCAGCCCGGCCTCAGCGTAGCCATTCTCACACACAGGCAGTGCTGAGAGCCGTGGGGTGGAGATGATGCCCATGGCTGTCGTGTTGTTTTTATCCTCATCCTTATACCATCTCCTCAGAAAATCAAAGCTAAGAATCCCTTTTTGTGTGTGTGACCAGAATCATTAGGCAACCAAAGCAGAGGAGACGTGCTATTGCCTGTTAATTTCCATCAGAGTACATCTTTCTGATCTCTCTGATTTTACAGAGAAGAAAAAGAAGTTCTTTTGTCCAGACAGAATTTCCAGTGTTATTTTCCCTGTAATTGTAGGCAGTGAGCTATCAGAGGCAATTCTTACTAAAAGTAGGGAAATTTTACCTCTTCCTAGTTGAGTGAAGTTTATTACAGAGTAACCAGTATTTTCTATCCTCTTTTCAGAGGCCTACAGAGAAAAGTGAACCAGGTAAAAAGAGAGAGAAAGTGGGGCACCCCACAGGCTTCTGGGGACAGAAAGCCTAATGTAACTCTCTGGATTTCATGGCTTTACTCTCAGTAAAATATTGACTGTGAGCTGATTTTTGCCTGGGGCTGAGGCACCTGTAGTCATTTGCCCGGTTTTCCTTGTGACAGTGATAAAGAGTGAGACCACTCACTGAGTTTCAGGACCCAGTCCATGACCTTGAAATGAGAGGATTTTTATGTGCCTGAAAAGTGCCATTATTATGACAATTATAGTGTGAAAGAATATGGGATATTTAGTATAAAAACAGCAGCCATGAAATGTGGTCATTGTCCAAATGAATCTTTTGTAGCTATGCAATTGTTAGTGTCAGCAGAATTAAAACTAATTTGTTTGTAGCAGCATTTTATCCTATCAACTGAAGATATCTAGGAACCTAACTGTAGGAGTCAGTTACAAAATGAGATACCCACTAGGGAAGTGTTTCTGAGCCCGCTGTGATGTATAAAGGAGGCCCAGTTTCCAAAGGCATGTGTGGGCTCTGTGTGAAAACTGTGTTTTCTGTAGATTGAGTCTTGCTTGAATTTTAAAGCTGCCCTAGGATGAACCCTGGAGTTTAGCTTTAAGAAGTCTGTTGACGTTTTTATTTGGCAATTTGTTGAATCATCTCGTATCTGACTCACTAATAACTGATTGTTTGTTATTAGGAAAATTAGGCATTTTGTCTCCCTCAAGAAACTGTGTTGTACCACTGACAATAATAAGCAGGTACGGTATCAGCTCACTTTGTTTGCTCTGTCCGTTTGGCCGTGTGTCACCTCTGTTCTCTGCTTGTCTCACCACTGTTCTCTGCTTGTCTTTCTCCATGTCTAATTGTAGCTGCCAATTAAGCAGATTTATGGGAAAAGTAGGTTCCTCTGACAAATTTTTTTATTTCCCAGCAAGCCTATATCACTTTATTTGTAGTGCACATTGGTTATGATTTAGCTTGTGGCTGAGGAACTCTCCGGACTAATATATGAAGGCACAAAATTCTTCCTCCAAATAAAAAAAAGTCCTATTTTTTATCTTAATTTCTTAATCAGTTGGAAAGTTATATCGATTTGAGCATTTCACCCCTACAAATTCATATCAAAAACAAGAATCATTCCAAAATAGTACTGCGATTTTTTTCTTACCCTTACATCATACAGAGCAATACATCTGAATGTTATCATCTGCAATAACAGAATTTTAAGAAGCCACTGTATTTAATAACCTTTTTTTTTTTTTTTTTTTTTGAGACAGAGTCTCGCTCTGTCACCCAGGCTGCAGTGCAGTGGCACAATCTCGGCTCACTGCAGGCTCCACCTCCCGGGTTCACACCATTCTCCTGCCTCAGCCTCCCAAGTAGCTGGGACTACAGGTGCCCGCCACCATGCCCGGCTAATTTTTTTGTATTTTTAGTAGAGATGGAGTTTCACCGTGTTAGCCAGGATGGACTCAATCTCCTGACCTCGTGATCCGCCTGCCTCGGCCTCCCAATGTGCTGGGATTACAGGCATGAGCCACCGCGCCTGGGTAATTTTGTAATGGAGAGCAACATTGGTATAGGTATTTTTTCTATTTGATTAGTACTTTTACTACTGGATTATGTGTATTTTCACTTCATGCATTATAATTTATAGATTAACAATTATACAACAAGCATAATTATCAGTGATCTATTTTTGAAAACTTACAACATGTGGTCTTTGATTTTTATGAAGATTTTAAAGAGGGACATATCTCTAAGGGATTTCAAGGCCTTCTGTGGCATAATCCATTTTAGTAGAGGATGGCAGAGATGTGTGAAGTGCTGGATGAGAAGGTGAAGCCCAGCCAGGCCTGGAGATCAACTGGAACCAGCAGGACGTGAGTAGACAGTGGGGTGAGCGCAGTGAGCCCGTGAGGGTCTTCAGTCGGTTGTCTCAGGCTATCAAAGGGGTCCATGTCCATGTGCTCCTTTGTAAGATATAGTTCAAGATAAAAATCCTTCCTCCAGTACCGAGAATTTCATCTGAAATCAGGACGTTTTCACATAATACCATGAAGTCATACAAGAGCCAAGTCCTTGGAGACCTCTGGTAAAGGAAAGAATGGCCTTTCATAGGAAAAAAAAGTGTTCCAACAGCCTTATTGCTACATACCAGGAGAAAGAATGAGTTCTTCTTAAGAGCTGACACAGGCAGAAAGAGAGGGACAGGACACCTGGTGTCTCTTTCAAGACGAACTTCTGAACACAAGCAGTGCAGACCAGCATTTCTTGGCTGTGGATCCACAGTAGAGGACACAGTTCCCCTGGGGCTCATTCATTCTCATGCCAGAAATTGACCAAGTACAATTCATGCCTTTCCCCCTACCAACTCAGCCTTGCTCCTCTTCCTTACCCTCTTTCTCACTTAATGACGGGGACCCCCACTCTCCCTGTCACCAGTCTCCCTGCAACTCCATGTGCTCAAGTCCTACCAGTCCTTCATGGCCCAGTGCAAGAAACATTAAGTACCACCTTCTTCCTGAAGGCCCCTGAGGTACCCTCTTTTCTTTGTGTCACCCCCCAACCACCAGCGTCATCTTCACAGCTATTTGTGTGCTAAACAGCCCTCTCCCCTCTAGCAGGGCCACTGGTCTGTGCTGTCCTTGTGTGCCCACACTGCCTGGCATGTAGTAGGCCCTCAAGCTGGTGGCTAGCGTTAATGAAACTGAATGTCTCAGTCCTGGCCTCCTGCCAGCTGTAAAGCCCTCCTGCCTCACAGGAGGAGCAGGCAGGTCCTTAGCACAGGACTCTAGCATGCAGGGGTGGGGGGCCACCTGCTTTTTTTCTGACGCTCTAAATAGAAACGCCTTTACTACCATGAATTAGCTGCTGCTCCTAGAAAAGTGGAAACGCAGAGCTCAGATACCCTGAGCCATTGACGTCACCTAATGGTACTGCACAGGCCTAGAGAGACATTTAGATTTTCTAATAACAAAGCATTTTTATACCTCTGGCTAGCTACAGTGTTTTTCCTCCTCGTCAAAGGAGGCTGCAGCGAATGGCAATGGGATCTGTGCTGGGGAGGGCTCCTGTCTGCCGGCAGTTCCAGTGGCGCAGTTTTCTGGGGTTTAGCCCTGATGTCAAAATTGGCCCATGGGTTTGCATTTTAACAAGGTGTGACGCGGTAAGCCAGGCTGCTGCCTCCTGGTAGGGTTTGCTGTCAGCAAAGATCTCTTTTCCTATATGAGCCCTGTAGCTTTTTGCCAAGAGGCTGGAAATGCTCAGTGAGGTTTGTCTATTGTCTTCCTCTCCTCTGCACACATACTTTCTCCCCAAATATGTGTTAAACACCTGTTCTGTGCTGGCACCAGGGACACGATGCATCTGCCCCCAATGTCAGGGAGGCCACAGACAGGTAAACAGAATAAATACAATGCAGCACAGAGGAAATGTGAACCAAGCACTGGAGAAGCTCAAAACCCAGGACCTAAGGAGGCTGTCTGGGATTTTTAGGTATTGTCTAAAACATGGGCCAACAAACTAGAGCCTGCAGGCCAAATGTGGCCTGCTCTGTAAGTAAAGTTTTATTGAAACACGGCCACACTCTCTTGTGTGTTGTGCCTCTGGCTGCTTTCATACTATGGCTACAGAGCTGGGGCCATGTGGCCTGCAGAGCCTAAATATTTACCCTCTGGTCCTGCACAGAAAAAGGTTGCTGACTTCATTTCTTGAAGATAATTTTCTTTCTTGGATGTTCCATTTTCTTAGGCCAGCAACAGACTGCCCTGACCTCCCAGAAGTACCCGTTCTCCCCTTCATACACTTCTTTGGGCACCTTTTGCCTTCGTGCCAGCCTCTGTGTCCTGTCTCAAACCTATCTCAATCCCTCCATACTGGTGCGGACACGAGAACCTAGGTCCCCTGCGGCTTTTTCCTTTCCACAAGGACAAAATCCAAATGCAAATTCGTGGCTCAAACGTCAGAATTTCAAGGATCTGCAACCATGGTCCAGGAGTCATACTTGCATAGGGAAAAAAGGAGGCAGTTAGGGCCCTGACATTGTATCAGCTCTTGTGTTTTGTTTTGTTTTGTTTTGTTTTGTTTGGGACAGAGTCTCGCTCTGTTGCCCAGGCTGGAGTGCAGTGGCACGATCTCGGCTCACTGCAACCTCTGCCTCCTGGGTTCAAGCAATTCTCCTGCCTCAGCCTCCCAAGTAACTGGGATTATAGGTGTGCACCACGGTGCCCGGCTAATTTTTGTACTTTGTGGAGACAGGGTTTCACCATGTTGGCCAGGCTGGTCTTAAACTCCTGACCTCAAGTGATCCACCTGCCTCAGCCTCCCGAAGTGCTGGGATTACAGGTATAAGCCACTGCACCCAGCCATCAGCTCTTATTCTTTTTACATTTTAATGTGGCTACTACAAGTTTTAAATTACATATGTGGTTTGCATGTGTGGCTCACACAATATTTTTATTGGACAGACCTGGTCTGAACTTTCCCTCCCATGCCAAATCCTATCACAGATTCACCTCACTTGCCCTTGTGCAGGTGATGGGATGCTAATGAGCTACAGACATCCTCTCGTTTCTAGCAATGAGTCAGCTCCAGACTCACTGAGCCTCCAGGAAACCATGCTGTAACCAGTTTCCCAGGCCCCTAGGAGGCTTTTACCCTCACTGAGGACATTCTGATGGGTGCTTAAGCAAACCTATAGAGAGTGTCTTTGTGGGGAGATGCAGGGCCCCTTTCAGTCATTCTCAAACTGCTGCAGAAAGTTAGGTCTCACTTTCTAGAGCTCTTTGGTGGACAGTGGGGAGTACCATGTCCTACTGAGTGTACTCAGGCAAGAGGACACCACAGCCCTCAGAAAACTGAGCAGAAGTGGGATGCATGGGAGCCAGTGAGGGCCAGTGGACAGTTAGACATAGTCATCATCCCTGAGTTGTCTGGGCAGCAAAGTGGGGAAGGCTTATTCTCAAAGAGACCACAAATGCTTAGAAACCCTTTAGCCATGGGTTGAGATGGTGGATTAAAGGAGATGGTAATCCTCCCCTAATTAGAATGACCTCCTGCCCTTTCATGGGAACAGAGCAAGGCCACCAGTTGATAGCTAGTAAGATGTTTTTTCCTGGCACAGCCTGGCTTCACCAGCGTGTCACAGAGAGACTGCCCCACAGTTCTCACCAGGCTCTAGGACCTTCTCTCCAAGCCCAGCAGGTCCTGGAACATGGGCCTTGTCTGAGATGTGTGCAGTCTGAGTGTGACTGACAGGCTGCTCCACTAAGCACCCTTGGTTGACTTGTGTCTTGCCTGGCAGGACTGTGCTCACAGCCCCCTGAACCCACAAGGACCCAAGGACTCAAGGACTCTGTAGTTGCCTGTGCCCAGTACTCCAGGAAGGAGGCCGCCTCATGCCATCTTTCTTTTCTCCCTCCCTCTTTTGCCTTCTCTCTTTTATCCACACTCTACCTTTAGTCACCTTCTGTAGGCCTCCAGACGGTCCACAGATTTTCCCATTCAGTCCTTACACCTGCTTGGACCATCCTCTCGATGGCTTTCTGCTGCCTATGACCCTTGGTGGCCCATTGTCGTTCCCATCCCCAGGCCAGCCTTCTCTTGGGCGTGTCCTTGGCCTTCACTGCCCCCATGCCTTTACTGTCCCCACATTTGGCCATTTCTGTTTCTCTCACCCCTTACCTTTCTAGGGGTGGTGTGGCCGATGGGCCTGTTCATGATTTGGGGCCTTCTCCTCCCGCTTCTGGCAAACCAT